ATTAGGAAAGGCAATTTGCAAAGATTCATAAAAGAACCTTATATTCACTTATTCTGTAGGTGAAGCTGGATCATGAATGATTCGCGTGAACATAGATGCATTTAGGCAGATCGGGGGGCGCATTCCTTTCAAAAACAAATGTAATCCACTGCATCTTCAGCAGCTCAGATGTCGGGAGTAAATGACGACTGCTATGTTCATTATTACATCCAACAACAAAACACCTCAATCGCTTAGGAGCCATTGTTGTCTACATCTGCTCCGGCGGTGAAGCAATGGCGGAGTGTTGACAGCTCACTCAGGGCGGGTCTGAGGTAAAACGCTACTGTCAATCAACAATTGAGGGAGGGGCCTGGGTCTGTGTGACGTCACACAGACAGGCATCTGAGAATGGCTTGATATGAGAAAGGGGAAATGATTTAACGTGATTAAAAAAAACACTGGGTGGATCTTTATCATTATAGGGTGGTTGTGTACATGCACTTTCAGTTCAAACAACTTGTAAAAGTGCATGTCGCATCCGATGACCCCTTTAAAGCAAAGATAAAGTCATACACTACACTTTCCCTGAATTGCTGTAAAGAGTTAATCGAATCAGTGGTTTATTTTTTACCACACTGCACTGGGATTAAGAAATGTCAGAGACATTTAGGTGAGGAGAGTAAAAGGGAAGTGAAGGAAGAAAGTGGATGTTGAGGTACTTTATGTTTATTTTTAACATGAGTGCATTTAGGTGAACATGATATCACTCTCATGTTTGACTGAAGTGTTGATAAGGGGTATGTGGGTCTGACTGAACCTCTGACCTCTGATATTATGCAACTGTGTCTGACTCACTGTCTTGCCTCAAGTGTTTAACACCCCAGGAAAGCTCTGCTATAGGATACTGAACATAATACAAATGTATATTCTCAGATACAGGACATAACCAGCGAAAAAACAAAACAAAACTGTGAGCAGTATAAAAAAAAGCAGATAAAACATTTTCTTATCATCAGATTTGACTAATACAGTTTGCAGGTGCACTGACTGTCTGGCAAATGTGTAGCATATCTGCATTTGCGAAGAGGTAATGCAGTTAAAATATATAGAAAACCAAATATATCGATCCAAATATATCGAATATATGACCATGGGCTCATTTCCTGATGCTAGCATCTCACCTCTATCTGTGAGAATGGAAAGGTGTTTGGAGGAGAACTGTGACTCTGTGTACTGACCCCTGAGACTGATAAACACAGTCCAGATGGGGACAGAGGGGCCGACAGAGGGAGCCCAGCAGGACAGGCCCGCACACCCTCAGTCAGGGATCCATCCTTCCCCCTACAGATACCTCTCCAGTGTCCTCTATAACCTCTCTCCACTTTCCTCGTCCACAGTCTATGTACATAAAGGTTTGTGAAGAATAAAAACATAAAAAACATTAAAAATATTATATATGTGTTAATTTCTCAAAAGGAGAAAGTTCTGGAAGGTTCAGAGAAGTGTGTAGATGGAAAGCAGCAACTATCAGCATTGTCATGATAAAGACTACACACAGCGACAGGCGAGAATTGATATGAGCTCTTTGGGAGGGTGATAAAATGCTCTCTTTGTTTGATAAGTATGTGATGAGTGCTAATTGTGTGCGGCCATCAGAGCATTCAAAGCCAAGTGTGCAGTTTAACATTTCATTTACATTTATTTTCTTATCAATGCTACTTCCATCAGAAACAATTAAAGTTAGAGATTGGATAAAAAAAGAATCGAAAAAATAAAATATTATTATGACAGAATATAAAAATCATGGTCAATAAAAGTCTGTGCTTTTAATTTTGATCTCTGTTTATGGATATTAGGCTTAAGAAATGTTAAACGTTACTGATACTCAAAGCTTAAGATATAATAATAGCAGACCATGGTAGTGTCTGCATTGGTGCTTCCTGGTGTGATGATTTATGAATAATGTCATGCCAAATTGACAAACCACCCCACTGCCAGTCCATCTGTACACACAATCACATAGTATTAAAGCCGTATTCTGTGATCTTTAGACGTACACCGACCATCTGTCCATCATATACAGCCCATTTTCAATCTGTTTCCCCCACTGACATGTGAAGGACTACAAACATCCATTTGATGTGTGGAAGAGAGCTATAGTGTTACATAAGCCCTTGAAGTCTAGAGAAGCGTGTGTAGTATCCATCTGTACCGTTAAAGAAGAGTCCTGTCTCTATGTGGATGAATGTGCTGTTTCAGCTGGCTGGAAACTAAGGTGAGCTTCACAGCGCTACATCCAGGGAGCTATTTCTGGCATGCCTTGCTAACGTGCCTTGCTGATGACTCTTTAATATGTCCTGTCACTTAGCCCTTTCCAGGAAGCTTTCTGAATCTTAGTCTTTAAAGGAAGAAAAGGCAGGCGTCACTATTCTATTCTATTCTATTCTATCAAATAGCCTAAAGAAAAGCTCATAATAAACATATTAAGACTTTTATAGCTTGATATTATATACATATTATAGCTTGAACATGAGATATCTATAAAAAATCATACTGGTTCATATTAATTCATATATATATATATATATATATATATATATATAAATGTGTATTTTTTTTATATATATATATACAGCCTATACATTATCTATCTTATAGACAGCATATGCATATATATAAACATTTGAAGAACAGTAAGTTCAAAAGAACATAATTTATTTTATAGGAATCAGTTTAATGCTTCTAATATATGCGTCCAATATATAAAGTACATATAAATATCTCATATCATACATATATCTCATTTTAACGTTAATGTAATTAATTACAATTATGAAAAAATAAGTGTTTCTCAAATTATATTATTTTATATTATGGAGTTTATGTTAGGCCATTGTAGCCCATGTTTATGTGTAATAAATTCTATGTTGAATAAAACATTTCTTTCTAAAGCAACTTTTTGTAATCTCTATTTGATGCTATACATCTATTTGATTGATTTTCTCATTTAACACAACAATGGCTGTAAATTACCATATATATATATATATATATATATATACAGTAAATACAGTATCTCACAGAAGTGAGTACACCGCTCACATTAGCCATTTTCTCTCCCCAGTGTGTGACTCAGTGTTACAAGGTCTCAGGTGTGAATGGGGAGCAGGTGTGTTAAATTTGGTGTTATCGCTCTCACTCTCTCATACTGGTCACTGGAAGTTCAATATGGCACCTCATGGCAAAGAACTCTCTGAAGATCTGAAAAAAAGAATTGTTGCTCTACATAAAGATGGCATAGGCCATAAGAAAATTGCCAAGACCCTGAAACTGAGCTGCAGCACGGTGGCCAAGACCATACAGCGGTTTAACAGGACAGGTTCCACTCATTGTCACATGAAAAGATATAATAAAATATTTACAAAAATGTGAGGGGTGTACTCACTTCTGTGAGATACTGTATATATATATATATATATATATATATATATTCACTCGTCAAGCAATTTCGGGCATTTAAGCAGACAGCACAAAAGCAAAAGAGAGAGACAGAGGCAGACATGAATAAAATAATGCATAATTAAAGATGATAATTCATGACATAATTCAGCTCATACAGTGAGAGTGCAGAGTCACCTTTCATCGCATGCCCGACGGCAAGCCACATTTGTGCCAACAGTTGAATCCCTGCACCTCCCCCTGCACCCTCCACAAAAGCAGCTTATGGATTACAGCGAAAGCTGTGCACTGTCATGTGACATGAACTCTGTGTGACAAATCACTGTGTGTCTTAAAACAAAAACACTGTAGGCCAAGAAAATAATCACAGTGGTCATGTCATTACTCGGCGTGCATCTGAATGCAGTTTTCATATATAGCATGTTGTGCTGTTTTAGCGTGTGTGTCCACTGATGGAGCAAGGCTTTATGTAAGAAGATAAGGCAAGGTGAGTGGGTGCAGAGCAGCCTGGCAGACCAGTGTTTTGTCTCCTGGGTGCACTGCAGACATCCCAATCCACTTTACTCTCACCTGAACACTACCGCGTTACATATCAAAGTGACTAAGATCAGGTGTGCTCAACTTGCCACACGCCATCCGTGGATTAGCCATGATGTGTGACTGAGAGGTTGTTTACGTCGTTGTGAGTGAGTGTGTAGGAAAGAGAACTGGTGTGAATGCATTCTTTCTAATCCTATGATCCAACAGCTTGATGCAAGCTAATCGGCAATTAAATACTAACGACACACGTTTAAAGAGATGCCCTGTCGTAAAGTCAGCAATAAATGAAAATCTATTTTCTAAATGCATATTATAGATTTTTTTCACTAAGCCCTCTCTTTGGTGATACATGCAGGACGTTTCCAATCATTTAGTTTGCTTAAACCCTGCTCCATAACCCCTGAACTACATTTTTTTTTCTTTTTGGATAATCCCTTACATATATACATATATATATATATATATATATATATATATATGTATATAAAATAAGTAAAAACAAAAAATTATAATTTTAGATAGATCAAGTCACCTCATGGAGGCAATGTTGTTGTAGTTGACCTGAACTAAAATGTTTTTGGTAATTAAAATAAATCTGAAATAAAATAAAATATAAATATTAGAAGAACAATTTAAACTTAAAATATAGAAAAATTTATAAAATAAACTAAAATTAAACATAAATTAAAGCTAAATACAAATATTTAAAACAAAAGTAAATCTAATAAAAATGGCAAAAGCATATATCAAAATTGCTAAAACCTAAACTAAAATAAAAAAAAAAATGAAAATATAAAAATAAAAGCTAATTCAAAACATGAATAAACACTAATGAATAACCCTAACACTGTTATCTGGCACTTTTTCTCACAGAATAAATGCATCATATACTGCATTTCCACAATTAGTAAAGAAAACTTTTGCGTGATGCTGCATTCACAACTCTAGGTGTCAGTTTATAGCTCAAGACCACTGTTTTTTTCTGCCAGCACAATTACACACACACAGTTAAAGACATTATGTCCATTTAGACAGGAAGTGTGTCTCAGACAGACAGGGAAGTGAAAAGGGTAGGTGCTGAGTGAGGCTAAGGGTCAGTATTAGACAGATGTAACACATTCATTCCCAGACCCTTAATCACGTTACTGCAACATTAGGTCAGTTCTCTGTTCCACTGGTATGAAATATGCACGCCTGAAAGCCCTAATGAATGCCAAGTTCTGTCATGAAACTCTGGATGACGCAGGCTCATGGTTTGTTAGCGCAAACTGATTATATTTACAGCGTTAAACTACTTGGCACAAGCTGATTGGTTCATGTTGCATACGCAGCCAATGAGAGTTTGTCTGAAATCCTCCACCCCTCCCCAGCTCCACCTGTATAGATCTGCTACAGGTTATTATATACTTGTGCAGCAGCAGTATGTCTTAATACTCATAGCACCATATCGACGTATGTATTGGCAGTAGCAAGTTCCTGTAAGTGCTTTGCAGCAGCAGCAGCAATAATCTACAACAGCAATAACCAACAGCAGCAGCAATTCAGCAGCAGCGGTGTAACAGATTGATAGACCAAATACATTAAAATTGTCATATCCATTACCATGCTAAAATCTTCAGAGAGTTGTCATAATAGAAATATGTTAACACATATGCAGAGATAGATATATGTTCAAAAGCATGCATTCTGTCACAAACATGCATTTTCATATATCAGCATATCAACTGTCTTGTCCTTTTCTGAGAGAAATATTGTTGCATGATGATTGCAATGCTATTGATTATCTTTCTCCTCTAAAGGATTGTATGTCCATTAAGTGGGAAACACACACACAACAGTCAATAAATCAAAGTCTCTGACAAAGCACTTTGAAAGACTAGAAAGGAAATGAGTAGGCTGGAAATAAAACAGCAGGAGCCTTGATGGGAGGATGTGAACATACTGGTGTTTACAGTAATGACATGAGCATAATTACTGATTTGTCTTCGTTAGGCTATTTTTACTGCAGGCCTCACCTAGTATGAGGCACATTTACTTTTATTAGATTAATATTGAATATTTCAGAATATCATCTTGTGACTTTTAATTATGTTTTATAGTCAAATCGCCCCGGGATAAAATTGTTTTGGTGAGATCGGTTTATAGACAAGCAGGTGGAGGGCAGCCAGAGGACTTTGACCGCATCAAGCTGCACAGCACAGGCATGGAATATAGGTATAATATGTCCCATGGCTTTCTGTCATAGTGTTTTCCACTTTTCCACTCTTAAAAATAAAATAATTTATTCTATCCAGATGAATATGCAAATTAGTAAACCATAAGTAATTAAGTAGTAAGTAGGTTGATTTGCCTAAAAAGTGTAAACACTTTGTTGCTTTTAAAACATTGCTCTATTTGAGAATCCCGACCAGGGGCCTGTACCGTGATGGTAGTTGAACAAATTCAGAGTTACAGGATTAGTTTCGAGTTGACAAAACCAAACCACTCCGATCCAGCTTTGTTGGTACCATGATACTGGTAATCAATTTTCTTTGTCAACTCAGGCTTTGATCCTGAGTTTGTGGAGAGCATGCACATGAATGTGCGACATCAGTGGTGAACAGCCAGTAACACAGAGCAAGTGTGATTCACTTCTCATGAGAGATCCAGCGAGATTCCATGGTACCTAAAACCCAGGATTGGTGCAATTTGCAAACTAAACGGAAACTTACCTGACTAGCCAGCTAATCCTGCTTCATGGTACTGGCCCCTGGCCAATATAGCAATAGTAGCTCAAACAATGGCGTGAGTTTAGGGTGGGGCTATCTGTTTGACTGACCAATGGCAGGCTAAAGAAGTGTTTGCGAAACTTGTTGGAAAACTATCACTATTTTTGCAATTGATGAGGCAATGACACAAAACGGACAAACTTTGGTGTTACTTTGCTGATACTCAGCTAGTTTTAAATCAAAGAAAAGAAAGGAAAGAAAGTTTCTAAATCCAGTGCTATACCTTCGCGATGATAACAGGAAGATCGTGGAAATTCTCAAATTAGTATGTAGAATAATGTTCATCTTAATAGAATAGCTCGTATAAAAATGTAAATTAGTTGAAAATTTAGCATTTATATACTTGCTGGAGGAAGCGTTACTATGGATTATGGATTGGATTTTGACCAGAAGCGACAGTTTAAAGTTAAAATTTCTTAATGATGGATAATTTTTTTATTATTATTATTACAGACAGCTTTTTGCTTCATAGGACATTATTTGATGGACTGGAGTTGTGTGGATTACTTGTGGATTATTGTGATGTTTTTATCGGCTGTTTGGACTCTCATTCTGACGGCACCCATTCACTGCAGAGAATCAATTGATGAGCAAGTGACGTAATGCTACATTTTTCCAAATCTGGTCCAATTAAGAAACAAACTCATCTACATCTTGGATGGCCTCAGGGTGAGTACATTTTCAGATTTTTTTCAATTTTGGTTGAACTATTCCCTTAAGTCACTGCAAAATACATGCAGAATATCTCTTTATGCTTTAAAAATCGGTAGCCTATTTGCAGAAAAGATACTAAATGAACTAAACAGACTTACAGCAGCGGAAACGAAGCAGCTTTATCTGAAACACTGGCCCACGAGTCCTCGCAGCACAACACAACCTGTCTGGTGTTAAAGGCTGGAAGATGAGAGATGACGTTGGTGTGGGACCTGCTTCCGCCGTTTTCAGAGGCTGTGAAATCCTGAATGGCAGTGACGGAGACACTGAGCCTATTGCCGCGGTAATAGGGCAGCTTTTGAAAAGGGGACTGACAGCTTACTCAATGCAGGCATAGCCATGAGCTGCACATCGCTTTGCAACGGGCCCTAAAATATGGGGAGACCTGGCGAGACCCTGCGTTCTCTTCAGATACACTGGCGCCTCAGCAAGGAGAGAGCAAAGCAAAAACATTTAACGTACGGAAAACATTCTCTGGGCATTCAGATCAAGGCAGAAACTCATTTAATTCCTACCAAAAACAAATGAAAACACCAAACCACTTACACTTATATTTTAACAAAGAAAATTAGCATTTTGTGGATTTTATTCCATGTCTGCAGGGTATCTTTACACAGCACAAATTGTACTAAAAACGGAAAAGTTTTTTCTTTGTGTTTTTGAGAAATTTCCCCATTTACATGGATCCATGAAAACGACCACTGTATTATGCATGCTATAAATACATTTATTTCATGCCAAGTATACTACAAATACATAACATTTTTAATACAATTTATACCTTAATAAAAATGCTTAATAATATGCTTAATAAAAATACCCTGCAACTTTTAGTACACTAAGCTGATATACTTAAAGTGTGCTAAATTGTACTTAATGCACTTTAATTGTGCGAAAATAGTGCTGAAGTCCAACTAAAGATATACTTAAGTACATTTGATTGTGCTAAAGTGGAACTATTGCATTGCAAGTATACTTCAGGTATACTTTAAATATCTCGCAAAGACCTATATTATTCAAGGATCATATAATCTTAATCAATAGTGACATTAAAACACATTTTAGGCTTAAAATTAAGAAACGTGCATTGTGCATAAGTAGTACTCCAAATAAAGTTTAATTATAATTTTTGTATGCATATGTCAGCAAATATGTTAATAGATTTGAACTATACTGAGTATGAAATAAATGTATTTTAAATATATTACTTTTTTTTTTACTAAGTATGT